TGATTATTAATATCCTGCAACACCAACCTCTTATTTCTTTGAGAGATCTTGGCCTTGTTTGCACGACACCCCCCAAGAACATAAATAGACTTTCCCTTGGGGGTGGGAATAAATTAATCCACGCAATTATAGAACAATTAAAGCACTTTCAGCCAATTCAAGTTTTGAGAAAAATCCAAAAATAACTCCTTGGTTTAAATATTATTTACTAAATTAATTCTTTACTCAACCTTTTTATAGATTCCTGTTTTTTTTTTTTTTTTGTACCTCCTCACTGTCAGGGAATAAAGGCATTGCGTATTTACTAAAGTCACTTACATGAATGGCACACTCTTTTTACACAGAACAAGGAAAAGACTTGTCACTGACTTTTTTTCTAAAAAGAGCTATACTGTGGCTTTAGTTAACAATGAGTTTTTTGGTTAGAGAAGCAGTCCTGGATTTCCCTCTGAGACTCTTTTCTCCAAGTGGAATGCCTTCTTGGATGCCCTTTGGACCTTCAGAGGGTTTCACTTCAGCCCTTGCCTTCAGGCGGGAGCTTCCCTGTCCATGCAGAGGCAGGGGAGAGCAGGTGATTGACAGCTTGTTCACTGAACCCAGGCCACCTGGGTTTGGATCCCGGTTTCACTCACTGCTAGCTGGGTGACCAAGCTTCTTTGCCTTTTTCTATTTCTTCCTTCAGCTGTCTACTGCAGAGGATGGCTGTGAGTCCATGGCAAGTGCCCAGAATGGTGCCTGCCCCAGAGTGTTGGCTGATACCATTCTAAAACGGTGGCATCCCCCTGTCTTGATGCAGATGCTACTGTCACAGGGCAAGGGACAGCTTTAGAGGAATGGAACAGACATTTTCCCAAAGGAGACATGCAAGGAGCCAAGAGGTACATGAAGAGCTGCTCAGCATCACATATTGTCAGTGAAATACAAATCTAAACCCCAAGGAGATATCACCTCACCCCTGTTAGAATGGTCCTCAGGGAAGCTAAGAGAGAAAAGTGTTGGCGAGGATGTGGAAAAAAGAGAATGCTCGTGCATTCTTGGTGGGAAGGCAAACTGATGCAGCCACTGTGGAAAGTAGTGTGAAGGTTCCTCCAAAAATTACAAACAGTACTACCGTATAAGTCAGCAGTTCATTCTGGGTATATATCTGAAGGTAATGAAATCAGTATCTGGTAGAGATACATGCATCCCCGTGTTCATTACAGTATTTACAATTGTTTGCTCTTAATCACGAGACATAGCTAAACTATTATGGCAAGGGGGTGGGAAAGAGGGTTGTGTGCCCAGTGATGGCCTTGGCTTTCATCTGGGATTCTCGGGATCTCCGTGAGTAGGAGGGGGCTGGCTGCCTTCTCTGGGCAGATTGGTTCCCAGAAACGATTTACTGCAACTCTGACAGATGTGAAGAAAAATTACCCAAAATTTAGAAATTAAGGCCAAGAGTGTGCGGTGTATCCTTTCGAAGTCATTCTTGGGCATTGTTCAGGCAGCACACCGAGGGCTTTTTAATATCTAGGGGAATGTACTTGTGTTTGACTCTGCTATTGACAATTAATTAAGGGCTCAGACTGAAGTCATACATCAACCTGTAGATCTTATCTGGTAGAGATGCAAATAATTTCTGCCCAGTAGAAAAGATAACCTCAAAGGTTATGATTTCCTTATTGCTCTGTAGGACAATAACCAGTTTTATATCTAATCCAGGAATCTTGGTCTCTTATTCCTGTTTAAATTCCCATAAATACACAGTCCCTCAAAATTCTCTGAACCAACTCTCCCTTCTTATTTGCTCCTTTATTGGTAAATTAAACAATCTTTGACATGTGTTCATTCTGTATTTTTATGAGTTATGTTTTTAACTTTTTGAAAATTACACTTTGATGAAAGTGATAATGGGTACATTTTTCCCCCACGTTTTAAATAATAAGCTACCACATTACAACACACACATTTGTGTGTCTTATATAGTAATATAAGCAATTTATAGTATATAGTATATAGTATAGTATATAATATATAGCCTATATAGTATATAGTATATAATATATAACCTATATAGTATGTAGTGTATAGTATAGTATGTAATATATAGCCTATATAGTATATAGTATATAAAGCGCTTTCTCAGGTGTGGTCACGTTTTGACCTTGAATGTCGAGGTTACCTTGTGAGGAAGTAGAGCAGATGGAATTAATCCCACTTAACAGCTAAGGGAACTTAGACCCAGACTGAGAAGGGAGGTGACTTGTCCCCCAGATCAGGCATGTCCTAGGTGGCCATACCAAGATGGCACCAGAGTGAAGCTGGTGGCCTAGGCTGGTTTTCTGTCTTGTCTGTGCCTTCCATATCTATCTATGTTGGTGAAATCTGGTTAAAGTGAACAGCTCCCAAATTGTAAGACACCCAAGTAGGAGCAGCTGGATGGGGTGTTGAAATGGGGAGGGCCACTTGATGGCTTTGCTTGTGTATATATGAGCTACAATTGGCAGCCCCTCTTCCTCCTCTAGCAGCAGCTCACTCCTTGTGGGCAAGGGCTCCCCCATCCTGTGTCCCCAGACCCTTAGGGGTCATCTTTCAATGTAGTAATGGGGGCCCAGAGTGATTAGCAATATTTCAGAAAGCTCAGAGGAGATCATATATCTCCCCATGACAGGTCTGCCCAGACTAAATGAAATGTCATTTCTCTGCTGTTGGCTGGCATTCTGTCAGCTCAGTCTGGCTGTACTGCTTATCTTGGGCTGATCAGGAGCCCTGATTGGACCTTATATGCGTCCTTGACAAATAAAAATGAATTATTACTTAATAAATGCAATTGGTTTGGCAAATGCAGCCTTTCAGAGCATGGCTCCATGGAGCTCCGAAGAGCCCAACAAAAGGGCTTCTCAAAAGGGGACTTGCTAGCTCAGCCAGGACGAACTCTAGCTGGGCCCCTCTCCGAGGAAACAGAAAATGGTGGCCCTGAGGCTGAGAACTCGACCTGGGGCGAGGTCCTCCAAGTGCCTGCAGAGTACTGGGCATTCATTTCACCCAGTGCAACATCGGATAGGTGTCAGGACTCAGACAACCTCTTTCCTAAAGCTGAGAGAAGCAACTTGTTAAGGTCACACTGTTCACTTGGGAAGTGGAGAGGTTGGCGTGAGCCTGTAGGTAGCGTGGCTGCTAGGAGGCCATGGGGTCATACCTAGCTTGAATCTTGGCTCTGCCTGTCGGTAGCCCTGTGGCTCTGTGTAAGTTGAACCTCGAGGAATCACAGCTCCTTATCTGCAAAATGGGGATCATAATTGTACCTACTTTTAAAGCCGACATGAGGATGTCAGCTATTGCTATAGTAGGGTTATTCTTGAAGATTTATTTTGGGACCAATTATAACTGATTGGGATTCAGAAGAGATTCATGGGGTTAGGATAAGCATCAAGACAGGAACCACAGCATCTCAAAAAAGCACAGACAAGGGTCTCATTCATATTGAAGGTAGAGTCCTATATTCACATGTTTGGCCTGTTATAGGTAAGTGGATGCATCATAGAGCCAGTTGATGGTATGTAAATTACACCTCAGTAAAGCCATTTAACAAAATAGAACCAGTCTCTGCCATCTTGGGAGCTTAAAATAGTGCGCTACATGGTCATTAATCAAATAATGATGCAAATAATGTGCTAGTACCATGAAAGAAAAGTACAGAGTTCGATGAGAGTTTGTGGCAGGAGAACCTTATCTAGGGCAGGAGGTCAAGGAAGGCTTCTCCAGAGAGGTGATGCTGAGCTGGGATGGGAAGGAAGAGAGGGGTGAACTAGGTGAAGGGGAGATGGGAGGAAGGCTCTTGGCAGAGGGACGATCATGTGCAAAGGCCCTGAGGTAGGAAAGCACAGGGCCATTGAAGAAGAGAAAGAAAGCAGAGGTGGCTTTAGTATCACTGTGGCATGAGATGAGATGAGGGAGGGAGGCTGGGCCTGGTTGTGCAGGGCTTTGTAGGCCAAGCAAAGACCCTACTTCTGTGTTCCCCCACCATCCATGGGACCCAGCTCCTCTCCTCTGGCTGGGATATGTTTGCTAGTGACCATGGGGTTCATCAGGGACTGAGAGCCGTGTCAAGGGCAGAGTGGGTCCTGGGGATCAGCTTTGTGAATTGAGCATCTCTTTGTCCTCTGGAAACCCATTGGCAGACCATCTGTGGGCCCAGGTCTGGCACTATTCAGCAGCTGTTCCCTAGTTGGGAAGAGGCTTTTAGCTTTAATTAAAAGGGAGTAGAGATAAGGAGACCGCCTCGGCAGGGAGGGCAGCAGTGACAGGATGATTTAAATGGCCTCTCCAGTGTCATTTCTTCTGTGCAGACCTCATAAATCAGATTAACACTGGGCTCTGGTGGGGAGGTGCGAAGGGAAAGGGGCCTGAGAGAGAGGGGAGCAGGGCTTGTGACTCTGGGTCCTCCTGGGACTGTCTTGGAGCTGGTGGGACAGCCCTAGGGGGTGCCAGGGTCACATATCCCTCACCCACAGCCATCCAGCTTTGCTCTTGGGAGAAGGGGAAGTTGGGATGACCCCACTCCCAACCCAGCTTTCCAGCCCATCTTCAGCTTTGGGGAGAAAATGAAGAGATTGAGAGAATAGGGAAGAGAAGGATCGGGAAAGAGTGGAGGTCAGGGGTTGGGGTGGTAGTTACAGCCTTCGGAAATGCTAGAAGCAGTGGTTCTACCTTGCTGTGTACTACGATCACCTTGGGAACTTGACAACAGATGCTGATGTCTGGGGCCCACCTCTGACACTTCTGAGTTCTAGGTGATTCTACATGCCGCTGAAGTTGAGGAGAACAGGGTTAGAACTGAACTTCTGTCTTAAACTCAAGAACTGTATGATCCCAGGCCATCACTCCTACTATGACTGCCCAAGCCCACCCAGTGCCTCTGGCCTGCCTCTTGAAAGTGACTGGATTCAGGGGCCAGAGTCGAAGTCTCCAAGACAGGTGTTAAGGTGGCATAACTCCCACCCACATCTCTTCTCTTTCAGATCTCGTGCCACCTGGGCAAGATGTACAGCGAGATGATCTTTGTCAATGGCTTCGTGCACTGTGACCCGCACCCCGGCAACGTGCTGGTGCGGAAGCGCCCAGACACAGGGAAGGCGGAGATCGTCCTGCTGGACCACGGGCTCTACCAGGTAGGAGAGGCTGTTCCCACCCAGCCAGCCCAGGGGCTCTGGGCCTGCCTGGGATCAGAGCTCACTGCACTCCCCGATCGGCCTCACACGTGGGAAGCAGATAGCCAGGGTGGATGGAGAGGCCCTGCCCTGCCCCTGGAGCCGTCATTTTGTGCAAGTCCCATCATACGAGCTCTCTCCAGTCAAATGAGGTTGGTAACACCTCCTTCACGGGCTGCTGTGGGGAGTAGATGGGGATGTGCCTGGGTCTGTGCAGGTGCTTTGTCAGCTGTGAACACTGTACTTCCCCGGGAAGCCCAGGTCAGCCCACTGGGAAGTAAGCTGCCCCTCGCTGAGCAGGGACTTCAGGGGAAGGGGGCCACTCAGCCCCAGGGAGGAGGTAATATGCAGTGAGAAAGGGGACCCAAAGCTGATAGGGGCTGGATGGGCCCAGCCTCTGTCCTCTGGAACTTGAGACTCATCTGGTTCAGATGAGCCAGGAGCTTCTGCTTGGAAGTTGCAAAGTTCACTGCCAATGCCAGAATCCAGGGTCTATCTTGAGTCCATGGCAGAGGGTTCTGGAGAGGTTTCCCCAATGGTCTCCTGCTCCTCCTCTCAGGGTCCTGATCTCACCTCCCAAAACCTTGGCCTCCTTTGAAAGGCTCAGTGACATTGGGTACATTAGTTTAAGGTAGGCTAGCTGCTGTCACACAACCCCACATGCATGATGGCCCAGACACAACAGATGTCTAATTGCTCGTTCACGTACCTGTCGCGGGGAGGTGGAGGTGTTTGAAGGCAGGGCCTGACCGAGGCTCTGCCCTCCAGGTTTCCCTGGGGGTGGTCTCCTCATCCTCCAGCAATGGGGGTGAGGGCTTGGAGGAGCATGCATGGGAAGGTTTTCAGGAGCTGGACATGGAGCTTCTGCCACATTGCATCAGTCAGAGCTCAGGCAGAGGGCTGCATCTAACTAGGAGGGAGGCAGGGAATGTGATTTTGGTGGGCAATTAGTGACCTCCACCACTCAGGACCAAGGCTGGCCAGATGGTAGCTTTCACGTTGGACCCTTGGGGATGGCTGAACTTTGGGGGAGAGGCGGATGATGCACAGGAGCTCCAGTCTTCATCAGTCCCCCTTCGCAGTGTCCACCAGCCAGGGGCTAGGTCTTCCGTGGGGAAAGGAGGCTCAGGTCCTGCCACATGGTCCCCCACCCCAGGTGCTCACAGACGAGTTCCGCCTGGATTACTGCCACCTCTGGCAGTCGCTGATCTGGACTGACATGGAGAAGGTGAAGAAGTACAGCCAGCGCCTGGGAGCCGGGGAGCTCTACCCCTTGTTTGCCTGCATGCTGACCGCCCGGTCTTGGGACTCGGTCAACAAGGGCATTGGCCAAGCTTCGGTCACTGCCACAGAGGTAGGTGGTCCCCTCCTGGCCTTGCCTTCTCCTAAATGTGGGGGGTGGGGCCACGGGTGGCCTTTGGACCCCTTCCAGCCCAGGGTCTGGGGTTCTGGGCTAGTGGGCTGTGCCCTTAAACTAATGGACTCAATGTCACTGAGCCTTTCAAAGGAGGCCAAGATTTTGGGAGGTGAGATCAGGAACCTGAGAGGAGGAGCAGGAGACCATTGGGGAAACCTCTCCATGATCTCCATGGGCAGCATTGGCGATCTCCTGGGGGAGAAGCATCCCTGGAGGCAAGGAGGGAGAGAGAACAGTGTCTCACTGTGTCTCTCCTGGCCTCATCAACCTGCTCACGGTAACTGTGTAATCCACACTGCTGTGCCTTTTGCTCCAACCCACTCACGCAAGATTTCAGGCTTCCACCAAGTTCTCCTCCAGGACTTTCGGGAATCCCCAGGGACTGTTTCATCAGTAAGTCTGGTTCCACTTGTGCCCCTTGCAAGCTTCCTATATGCCTCCCTACGGGTGGGGGGGGGGCACCTCAATTCCTCATGCAGCACTGAGGCAGGTCTGAGCACACACAGGTCCCATTGTCCTCCCTGAGTGTGTGGCTGTTAAAACTGCTTTTTTGGGTCTCTCTTTGTTGTTCATTTCTCCATTGGATCTAGATGAGAATCCCATGGAGCCTGGGCTGAGACTGGTCCTAGCAGCCCCTCCTCCTTGTACTCCTAGCCACCTCCTTCCCAGACTCCTCATTCTCTCATGGAATTGGCTTCTGTCTTCCCAGTCCGTCAGTTGGCCAGACCTGTGCAGACTTGCCCATAGCCAGCTTGGACTCCGCCGAGGACCGGCTTGGACTCCGCCGAGGTCCCTGCTCACCACAAGGGACTCCGCCGAGGTCCCTGCTCACCACAAGGGACAGGTCCCACTTGTGCAGCCAGACAGACCTTGGGTGGTTCTCGTCCCCTCTCAGAGCCTCATGGTCCTCCCCTGGAAGCTGCCTTATGATGAGGGCCTTTAGGAATGGCTGGATGGAATCTTAAACGATGTCACCAAAGAGGCCACCTCTTGCCATCTCTTGGCTCTGCTTTCCTGCAAATTGACCTCATTCTCCAGTAAGCTTGGTGGCAATGATGACCGCCAGCAGCCCCAGGCTTGCATGGCTTTAACGAGAGACCACCTCCCTCCCTCGTAAAACAGGGATGATAATTTCTGTTTTATTGATAATGTGTGGAAAGTGCCTCCCCATGGTTCCTGAAACTTGTTCATCGAACAAACATTCGTTTTTGCTGGAACTGAGACTAGGTGCTGGGGATCCAATGATGAGCAGACAGGCCTTCCGTGTGATCTGCTCTGTGGTTGAGGGAGACAGACAGTAGACAAGTAAGCAAATAGGTAAATGGAATACTTGCAGGTTGCAGATACTGGAGGCAACAGGCAGGGTGAGTAATGGGGGTGCTGTAGATTGGGTGCTCAGAGATCTTGCTGAGCATTCTGGAGGACAAGGAAGGCGGCACAGGCAGAGCTTGGAGAGAGCATTCCAGGCAGAGGGAATGTGATGCGCCAGGGCAGGGAGAGAAAGTGTTGGCACGGTCTGGAGTGTGGCGAGGTGGGTGCTGGAATGAGAAGAATTTGGGGTGCTGGGCACAGGGAGCTTCACACAGGGCCTCATAAGCCATGGGAAGAAGTTTGGGTTAGTTCTCAGTACAAAGCAAAGCCTTTGACAGGTTTCAAGCAGGAGAAGAATGTGCTCAGAGTTGTTTTTTATTTTATTTTATTTTAAAGATTTTTATTTATTTATTTGACAGAGAGAGATAGCGAGAGCAGGAACACAAGCAGGGGGAGTGGGAGAGGGAGAAACAGGCCTCCCGCGGAGCAGGGAGCCCGATGCGGGGCTCGATCCCAGGACCCTGGGATCATGACCTGAGCTGAAGGCAGACGCTTAACGACTGAGCCACCCAGGCGCCCCTGGAGTTGTTATTTTAAGTATCTGGAGGGAACAAGATGAGCAATGGGGCAGTTGGTCAGGAGGCTGGGAGGTGATGGGGGCGCAGACCATGCTAAAGGCAGTGGAGGTGGAGGGAAGCAGAAGAGCCAAGGTGAACTTTGGATGTAAGACTGAGAGGCGTTTCTGTCGACTTGGGTGTGGAGAGGAAGCAGAGGGAGGAGTCAAAGTTGCAACACAGTTTTTGGGGGTAAGTTATAGGGTAGGGGGAGCTACTTCCTGATATAGGGAAGACTTTGGGAAGGACCTAGTTTGGGGTTGGGAGGCAGAAGTTAGAGCATTCACATAGAGGCATCATGGGCAGTCAAGCTTGGAGCTCAAAGATATAAATTTGGGAGATTTCAGTGTGTACATGGTATTTAAAGCCTCAGGGATGGACAAGATCGTATGGTGCACAGTAGGTAGGTACTTCGTATATGATATGTGTTTTCATTAACCGAGTTAGAATTTTATTTTGCATTCTTATTCACTTATAAAGACCCAGCATAAATGCTGCTGTCTTAGTCTGCCAGGGTTGCTGTAATAGAATACCAATGACGAGGTGGCTTGTACAACAGAAATCTATTTTCTCACAGTTTTGGAGGCTGGAAGTCCAAGATCAAGTTACCGGCAGGTTGATTTCTGGTGCAGCCTCTCTCCCTGACTTGCAGATGGCTGCCTTCTTGCTGTGTCCTCACACGGCCTTTCTTCTGTGTGGACACACTCCCGGTGTCTCTTCCTCTCCTCCTAAGGACATCAGTCCTGTTGGGTTAGGGCCCCACCTTTATGAAGTCACTTAACTTTGATTACCCCTTTAGAGGCACACTGGGGTTAGGCCTGCAACATAGTGATTTGGGAGGGACACAGTTTGGTCCATAGGCCAGCCAGGAAGCCTCTCCTCATCACCTTTGCCAAAAGTGGCCCCTTAACACTTGTATCACTCATGTGCATGCACCGTAAACTCTCTCGAAGAGTAGCCTTTTGCGTACTTGTATGAATTTCCAACTAGCTGGTGAGTACCTGGAAGGCAAGGATCCTGTCTTGTACATCTTTTTATAAGGTCCTCGGACCACATCTAATAGAGGGATATTCAAGTAGGTTCTGGAGACATGGACTCTAGTTGCTCACTTTGGACAAAAAGCCCTGATGTCCAGAGGTGGGAATTAGGGGCCTTTTCTTCTCATGTATTGTTTCTTAAAAACAGGAACACCTTTCCCAGAAGTCTCCCAGCAGATCCCCCTTGGTCTCATTGGCCAGAATTGTGTCTCATGTCCATGCCTGAGCCAATCACTTGGCAGAGGCCTTGTGCTCAGAGCCGACAATGGCTGAGATCAATCAAGATCCCCCCTGGGGCTAGGGAGGGGCTCTGCCTCCCTGAAGAGCACAGCCCCAAGGGGTCAAGTGAACAAAATGCTGCTCTTTTGACAAAGGAGAATGGGGAATGGCTGTTGGGTAGGCACCTAACGGGGTCTACTGTAGATAGCCACCATCGGGCTAGTCCAAGCTTGCAGAGATAGCCCCTAGAGGGAGTCTGGGTGGGTGCCGGTGCCTTTATTTGCTCCAGAGGAGCTGAGAGGGACTGTCTCCAGGCCAGTCCCAACTTTGCTGAGGGGGAATCCCTGTGGTGAGCAAGACCTTGGTCTGGCCTTAGCCCTCAGGCAGGATGACCCACAGCTGTGGGGGGAGGCAGTGGGGAGACAGCCAGCCTCAGTGCCTGGCTTCGTTTTGAGATGTTCCGGTCTGATAGCTCCTGCCTGAGGGACATTTCGAGTCTCACAGCCACTCAGTTACCAGCCTCACACACATGTTCCGGAAAGGGCTGAGAGTCCTGCTTGTGCACAGAAGGCAGCCATGTGGGGAAGCCTTGGCAGCACAGCCGGGCCCCTCCTTGTGACTTCGATTAGCACCAAGCGTCTCCCCATTCCTTATCTCTGCTGACCCTTTTGGTCCAGCTGGGATGTGGGCACGGAGGGTATGAGCATTTCCAGTTTTGAGATGAGGGCACTGGGTTAGAAGAGATGAAAGGACTTACCCAGGGTCACAGTCCTGCTGGGAGGTGAGAGGCGGTAGGGCCTGGTGGTGAGGGCATGGGCTCGGAGCTGGACTTAGGGCTTCCAATCCTGACTCAGCACTTACGAGCTGTGGCCCCTGTGCGGGGTGCCTAACTTCTCAGTGCCTCGGCTTCCTCCTCTCAAATGGGGGTGATGCACTTGCCTGATAGGGTTGTCGTGAGGATCAAATGAGTTCATGCCTACGAGCATTTTCTCTGGGGACTGAGAAGAGGTCAGAGGTGTACTGTCGTGCTTAGGGCTCTGGCTGGGGGCCGTTGTTTGCCCAGAGCCCTGCAGAGTTCAGGGACAGGGAAGGGCGGGAGGCCAGACTTCACACGCAGACACCAGGGTAGGGTAAGGGCTAGCCCTGGCTCCTGCTCTTGGGGCTTTGGGACCTCCAGCGCTGGGCCGGCTGAGACCGGCTCAGCAGGGAGGACTGTGATGGGCAGTGAATGTATGGGCAGCAGGGGCTCTGGGTAGGTCTGGTGGGCTGCAGCGGCAGGCAGGATATAGAGCAGGACTTCGGAGTTGGGTTGGGGTCAGAAACTCAGATCTATGAACTGCACCAGCCTGAGCTTGGCTGAAGGGATGGGGGACATGACTCCGAAGGTACCGGCTTCCAGGGCTCCTTCCAAGCCTGGCCTGAAATTGGTGGCAAGTGGGAAAAAGCCTTGGGGAGTAACACACAGGTGAACCCCTGGGCTGAGAGGCTGGCGAAGTCCAGCCTCATCTAGGGATTGGTGAGGAAGGAGACTACCTGCCCCAGTCAGTACGGGCTTACAGGCTTGGAGGATGGGTATTGGTGACCTGTGGGAAGCCAGGGATGGCAGAGGCCCCTGCTGATGTGTTCTTGTACTGCGTCCAATGCTTGGCCAGAAGTTGCGGTGAGATGTCTCTTCCACGTCTGTCGGACTACGAAGCCCCTTGTGTTGAGCTTCCCCCTGGGGAGGTTCCTAGTGGTGCTGAGGCAGCCATGCTAGGAGCTCCCTCCTGGAGCTTCCTTGCAGCCCCTCAGCCACCAGCTGCCCTGACACCTACCACCTGGGCCCCACTCTCCACACCAACTCCCCATGTCTGTCTCCCTGTTGCTGCTTCAGGACGCAGAGATCCGCAACAATGCAGCCAGCTACCTCCCCCAGATCAGCCAGCTCCTCAACCATGTGCCTCGCCAGATGCTGCTCATCTTCAAGACCAACGACCTGCTCCGTGGCATTGAGGTCGCCCTGGGCACCCGTGCCAGGGCCAGCTCCTTCCTCAGCATGTCACGTTGCTGCATCAGAGCGCTGGCTGCGTGAGTGCGGGCTCCAGCCTCTTCTCCCCTCCCAGCTCTCTGGCCTGCCCCACGCTGGGGGGGGTGGGTGTACTGTTCGCCTCCACTTTCTCCCACCAGTCCCCAGGGCCCTGCCTGAGCTCCCCAGTCTCCAGCTCTCCCTGGAGGAAGAGTTTGGGGCAGGAAATGACTCCAGCGAATTCCCCGGTTCTGGGCGGTGTGTTTGAGTGGTCCAGAGAGCCACCTGTACTTTGTCAAACTGGTGGGTTCTAGGACATCACCCTCCTAGTTAAGCTTTCCAGGTGATTCTTACCCTCAGTAAATTTTGAAATGTTTTCTGAGAGTCTCAGTCCCATCCAAGTGTCCCCTGGACTTGAAATCAGGACACCCTGATGTGCATCCCATCTCTAACTGGTCCCAGGACCTGTCTTCCCAGCATTGGCTAGGCAGCAAGGCCAGTGTTCTTTCCCTGCAGGTGTGTCCATGACTCGGGAGTGTCACCAGCAGGCTCACTGGGGATCTCAGATCTTTATAGATGCCTCAGTACCCTTGGAGTGTTGGTGAAGGGAGGGAAGGTGCTTCCTCAGGGAGATATTGCTAGAGAAGTGAGGGTTCTAGGCCCTTCTTCATGAGTGTGCAGATACATGGGAAGAGCCATGCTCTGGCTGAATTTTCTCACCTGAGAGGGGAGCCCAAGACTGGGGTCAATTCCCATCCATCCTATGCAGGGAGTGGGTCATTCTGGCAAAGTGTCTGGTGAAGGGAGCATTGGGCAAATACATCATGCACCCATGATCAGATATTGAATTAGATTATAGCAAAATAGACTGCACACAGAGAGGGCTGAACATGATTTATTCTTCCTTTGAACGTTCTGGAAACGAAGTCTTGATTTTCATCCTGTCCTTTTGTTAGTGCAGAAGGGATTGAGCTGTGGGCTGACTCCATACTGGGCTCAGCCTCTCAGGACCACCTGACCTAGTTTGCAGGTGATTTAGCCTCAGAAAGTTTGGGAAAGCTTTTATATTTGAGTTTGGGAGGTTCAGGATTGGCATGTATTTACTAAACATATGGAAAAAGGGAAACATGGGAATGTTCTACCCAGTGGGTCCACTAGGCCTTTGATGCCCAATGAAACAACTGCTTTTGTTTACCCCACTTATCTGGAAAGCTCCTGTAGAGTAGTTGAGTTCTTCTAGTCCCTGGGTGGGCAGTGTCATGATCATGTAACCAGGAGTCATCCACCGGGGCGGGGGTATGGTGAGTAGGCTAAGCCACGACCTTCCATTGTTCTAAGTGATAATGAGCCTTCTTGCCCATTTCTCTCTGGTTCTCTCCTTCCTTCTTGTCTTTCCTGCAGGCACAAGAAGAAGAACACCTGCTCGTTCTTCAGAAGGACCCAGATCTCTTTCAGAGAGGCCTTCAGCTTATGGCAAATCAACCTTCATGAACTCATTCTGTGTGTGAAGGAGTTGAGGTTGGCCACCTGGGTCTTGGCCCTGCTTCGCCGGCTGTTGCCCACTTCATACTGAGTGGACTTGCTGTCCCCTTTCCCTTTCCAGGGTGACTCTGTGGTGGGCAAGTGGACTTTCCACTCCTCACTCTTTTGTCATGTCCCCAGCCAGGTACCCTGTTTCTGTCACATGGTAACCTGGAGCCCCACAGTCATTGTCCATGGCACCATTACACTCCACCTCTAGAATCCCTCTCCTACACTGTAGGCCTTGTCTCATAGGCTATGCAAGCTGTCCTATGCAAGAGGTTGCTCTCCTTATCCAGGGAGATGGCATAAACAGTCTGTTTCCCACTCCTGGTGGGCGCCACTGGGTTGGATGTCCCCTGGTGGGTGCCATTGAGCTGCAGGTCCCCCTACTTCCGGTAATCATTCCTACTGTCAGGATGGACCACGAATCCCACTGACTTCCTACATGAATTTCTACATTTAACTTGTGGGAAGTTGGATTTTGTTGGAAGAGAGCACAGTTTCTGAGTTGCTCGGAGCAGATTCCCTCTCCTTGCCCTGTCATTCCCAGAGGTGTTGCACCTGAGCAAGGTGACTTGGCATCCGAGGCATGAGTTCACGGTTGTCCTGGTGACCCCTTTGGTGTTTTATGTACTGCATTTCAATAAAAACCCCTTCAGGGTCGCAGGGAAGGGCTTTGTTTGTGGGATTTTTATTCTAGATTGGGAGTGAATCCACACTGGCTGTTAGGTAAGAGTGGACCTGGATGCCGTGGGCCACCGTGTTCTACTTGTCATCTTGCCCCTGTCATCCTTCCAGCCTTTCCCTATGTGACCACTTCCTGCCCCTTGTAGGTGTTTCTTCCTTTCCAAGACTCTGAGACTGTGGTTGGAGGAGTTAAGAAGCCCAAGGCCAGGAACTCAGAGGCTCTGCTGAAGCCTCTGACTTGGGTTTCCCTGCGTTCTCACCACGTTCCCTGTGAGTGGGCACCTGCTTTGTTCTACTCATTGCTTCCTGACTTAGCCCTTTGGTTCGTCATTTGATGCCCGTCCTGGAGACTGTAGTGTAAGCCTCAGCCACTGTGGCTAGGGTTCCACTCTGAAACCTCCCTGTCACCTATCTGGACTCCATGTTTCCATCTCTTGCCCACCTGCCAGAGTTGCCCTGCCCCCACTCAGTCATCTGCTCCTGTTTCTGGGACCTCCCCGAACTCCTGCTGTAACTCCAGGTCCATTGGCAGGTCCTACTATTCCTGTGCTCATGGACGGTCATTGTATTTGAGTCTCTCTGATCTTACTTCACCCCATTCACAGGGGCAGGAAACTGCTAAATTTGAGTCTCTTCTTCTCTTTATTCATAATACAACAAGCAGATTTTCCACTGACCAGAGATTATTTGCAATCCCTTTATTTCCTGAAAGAATTAATTGTTCTTAGTCACCAGTTGGATGCACCCAGGGACCTGAGAGAATAATTTGCAAGATCTGTTATTAATCATGAGGATGCATGCTGCATATTATATTTTATGGTGTCTTTTATAGCCACAGAAGTAAATATAAATGTTCAAGGTAAAGGTTACTCGCTTTTCACTTTTAGTTTAATGGTCGGCTTCCTGCTGTCCTGGGATCTAAAACATCAGCATGTTGCCAGTGGGCCCAGCACCCAGGACAGTTAACCAGGGAGAGTAAAGAATCTGGGAGAGTTTGGGGGTATAGGGCAACTTAAAAGTAGGAGGGAAGTTAGCTGATGATTTTTGAGTGCCTTTCTCGGGGAGAAACCATGCTGGGCTCTTTGTAAAAAAGTTACATCATTGAATTGTTCCATCAGCTCTGTGAGGGGGAAGGTCATGAGAGGGAAGGGTCATCTCCGTAGAGATAGGAATCAAGGCTCAGGGAGGGTTAGTAATTTTCCTGAAGTCACACAGCTGTTAAGTGGGGGCCCATGCTTTATTTTTTATTCCCAGTGCTGTAGATCTACATCACACTCGCTCTTTGGCCTGTCAAACGTGCCCGAATTGAGTCTCAAAAACCCTGATTTCAGAAGGGATTGGGTTTTCCGTGGAGGCAGGGGAGTCCAGCATACTGGCTGGGGCCCAGGGCAGGGCGGAGCTGGCCCGCTGTGGCCTGCATGCAGTTCTGAAGTGTCAGAGTTAGTGCCGAGTCCACAGGCTTCAGGGTGTAGTTCCCACAAGACGGTTCTCACTTCAGACACAGGCTGCAGGTTTGGGGGGGTCACCAGGACACACGCACTTCTGACCAACTGGCTTTAAATGTGGGTGTTCCCACACCCCAGACTCAGTAATTTGCTAAAATGGACTCAGAACTCAGGAAAGCAATGTACTTAGGATTACAGTTTGATCAGGACCAGCCAAATGAAGAGGCACATGAGGCAAGGTCTAGGAGGATCCTGAATGCAAAGCTTCCATGTCCTCTCACGTGGCATCAGGACACATCACCCGCTCGGCGTATCAGTGTGTTCACTGAGCTTTAGTGTTCAGGGTTTTTATTGGGATTTCCTTGCATGGACATGATTGATAGAATCACTGATCACATGATTGAACTCAGTCTCCAGCCTGCCCTTCTCTCTCCTCCTTGCAGAAGGTGGGCTGATATCACCCCCATCCTGGGTCCTCAAGTAAAAACTCAGGTGTGATCTGAGGGGTACACCCTGAAAAACAGGAACACTCCTGTTGCTGAGAAATTCTGAGGAGCTACAGTTATGTCCCAGGAGCTGGGGACAAAGACCAGACAGATTCTTTATTGTACAATAACCACTCTGGTGTCTTCTTGTCCTGTGCCCTTGGCCCGAGGTATGTCTTTATGGACTGACTGCGCGGGCCTGTGCCTTCTGGTTGGCCTGGGTGGAGCCATATCTGGAGCCCAGATTCCCTCCCTGTCTCTGTTCTGTGGGTCAGCGACAGCATGGCTGAGCTTCTGTGCAGGACCTTGCTCTGATCCCTTCTCTGGCCTCTGGAACTTGCCCTGAATTGATTTGGGTTTGATGTTTCCCAATAAAATCCTGTGACTTCCCTCTCCCAGCAGTGACAACGTGTCACATTGGGAAGTCACCACCAGCTTACCCTGAAGAGTGTTTTCCCTTTTAACACTTAAATACTTACTCAGTTTAGGTGTGGGCTTCTTTGATTTGGGCAACATGGATATTTTCCCCCTTCCTCTTTTCAGGTGGAGTAGAGAGAAATGTCAACTCTGTGGCCAGGTGTCTAGAGCTTCTCAGGTGTGTGCTCAGTTCATAGTAAGTTGAGAATCCTGGCTTGTCCTAAGTGCTAAATAAACATGCAAGTATTTCGAATCTCAGAATACTTTTATCTTCAGGGCTGTTGAAATCTGTATATTAAGAGCAAACTACATGTGCCACTCCTCCTCTGTTAAGAATATTGCCTGTTTGGTTACAATGTTAATTTTGGCAGAGCTCTGAGCCCACTCTCAGTCCTCCAAGAATGTAAGCAGCCCATGAATGACCTCTCAGAAAGCCAAAGGGGCTCCTAGAGGCACCCAAGCAAATCCCTAGGGGCAGGACTCATTGGGAGGTTGAGCATTACCCTCCATGTGAGCAATTATGAGAAGAGTTAGCTGGAGCCCTGGAAGGGGCACTTGGGGCTTACATGGTTTCCAGGTGTAGCCGTGAGGCACTAGGGCTTAAAAATTGGGAACTGGGGATGGGACGAGACCCTAACAGGCAGGACGAACAAAGCCACAGAGAGTGGCGTGTTCTTCACAGCCTGACCTTTTGGAGTGGTGGTGTTGGTTGGGCTGGACCCTGGGGACCTGTATTCAGCGAGAGTCCTTGAACGCCAGGCGCCCTGCTGCTGACAGGTAACCCAGCCTGACCTTGCAGTTGTCTCCCAGTGTCCAGAGGGGGTAAGTTAGTCTCACCTATGATTATTTTATGAATAATTGTTATTATTAGCCCCCATGGCAGATGCCATTCCCAACCCTGTTAGCTTTTACCTGCCCTCTGATTGAGAGGCTGAAGAGTTGAGATCTTGTTTTCCTAGCCTCTCTTGCAGCTAGAGGTGACACATGACATGAGAAATGAAGGGGAATCTTATTGAAGGCTTCTGGGAAGTTTTTCTTTAGACATTGATAAAGGTGTCGTTTTTTATTTTTTTAAGATTTTATTTATTTGACAGAGAGAGACACAGCGAGAGAGGGAACACAAGCAGGGGGAGTGGGAGAGGGAGAAGCAGGCTTCCTGCTAAGCAGGGAGCCCGATGCGGGGCTTGATCCCAGGACCCCGAGATCATGACCTGAGCTGAAGGCAGACGCTTAATGACTGAGCCACCCAGGTGCCCCAATTAGGGTGTCATTTTTTAGTGTTGCCCTTCTCTGCTCCTTCTTGTGGGGGAAGTTGGTATGTGGTTTTGGATATCTGAAACTACAGCAGCCATTTTGTGACTTTGAGGCAGTAAGTACGTGACTTTTTATTTGGACACCTGTCATTTCCTGCTGAATGCCAGACAGCCTTCCCAGGTGTTTATGGATCTTGGAACAAATGACATACAAGCATTGATGGATGTGAGGTAAAGCTTATTGCTTGTATAGTAACTAGCAAAAGGATTACCCTGGGAGAAGGCTCAGGTTTGGTCTGGAGTGAAATGTGAGTGAGGCATGGTAGGGTCAGGGTAGCTCTGGTTTTTCTTGGGGCGAGACCAGGATGAGGGCTCCTCTGTGGGGGCCATGGTTTCCATGATTTGAACTTTTCCACCAGTGTCAATGGAGGGAACACTTGGGGTTTCTTATCGGTTTGCCCACACTTGGGGCCAAAGGGAAGCTGTCAGGGTCAATGTCAAAAATGCAGTCAGACTCTCACACCCATGAAAGTCCAACAGGCTGAGGATAGCCCACCAGAAAGGTGGAAGGAGCCTGGATCTTGGATGAGCCCCCTGCTAGGTGGTGAGTGTGGCCATGTACTATTTGCAAGAATAGACATGCGATAAATATTTGTTGGAGAAATGAATGTGAAGGGGGTGCTTTTAGAGGATGGGGAGGCTTTCTTCTGAGTGTTGTTTAATCAAATGCTCCCTACACCCATGGCTTAAAGGTGGTGGTCAGGAGCCCCATGCTAGGTCATGGTGATCTGACCATTGAGTGGCTTGAAACAACACAGATTGGTTATTTTATCCTTCTGGAGGTCAGAAGTCCAAAAATCAAGGTATCAAACACGCTGCATCCTTTCTGAAAGCTCTAGAGGAGGATCCTTTTCTGGTTTCTAGAGGCTGCCTGCATTCCTTGGCTCATGGCTGGTTCTGTTCTACCTCTTCTTCGTTATAGCTCTTTCTCTGATTCTGACCCTCCTGCCTGCCTCTTATAAGCACCTTGTGATTACTTCGAGCCCCGCTGAATAATCTGGGAAGATCTCTGCCTCTCAAGAGCCTTAACGTAATCACCCCTGTAAATGCCTTTGACTACCATGTAAGGTAACATTTGCAGGTTCCAGGGAATAGAAAGTGCACATCTTTGGGGTGGGGGGGAATGCTATGCTCTCTATCACACCATTGAATCCCGTGGGCAGGCTTGGGAAAGCTACGGTAGGCTTTGTTCCAGGTAGAAGAGTTAGTAATCAGTAAATGACAAAATATTAGCAATAATAATAGCTAATTCTGAGCACCAACCACACTCTAGCCTTTTTGCATGGACTTGATGGCACTTAATTCACATGATAACATAATGAAGTCTAGGGGCCACTATTATCCCCTTAGTGTAGGTGAATAACCTGAGGCACAAAGGGCTTGGGTTGCTTGCTGGAGGCACACAGGCAGTGAATGGTGGAGGCAGGCTCTGAGCCAAGGTGGTCCGAAGCCAGAGCTGGGGCTCTCAACCTCTGACTTCCCATTTTCCTTGGTAAAGGACTGCTTCCACCAAGCCTGCTGGAAGCTGAACTCTCCCTGCCTTCCCACAACCTCCTCAGTCTGGAGCCGGGGGCACGGGGACAGGGGAGCTCTTTCAGTGGGTTTAGTTGGGCCGGGACACCACATGAACAGTCATCTCTCTGCAGAGGGTGGGCCTGTGTGGTCCAGACCTCACCCGGCCAACAGCGCCTGGAACACCAAGCCCCTCAGGCCGCTGTGGACACTGGGGTATGACCCCTTCTAGGGAAAGCCTTATACAGGGAGCTAAGAGTGGCAGGATTCCATTGTGCCCCATGGAAAGTGGGAATGTAGAGGACTTCTGCCATTTTCACCTCTTCTCTCTCTCCCAAATATGCAGGGAGAGGTGACAAAACGGGGAGGGGAGAAACCATCAATGTGGGGCATTTTAATGAGCTGATTAGAAGTGAATTCTGACTTAAAACAGTTAATGCCTGTAATAATCTGATGGCAAGGTGTGTCCAGAGCAGACTCAGATCTTTTTCCTACCTTTGGCCTGGACCAGGTTCTCTGGGCAGTGGCCAGTGTTGTCCACACTGAGCCAGGCCTCTGGAGGTCAGCCCGGTGCCCTGGTTTGCTATCACTGGACAGGTTGCTTTGGTCTCGGCGCTTCTGTTTCCCCTGCTTCCCATAGGTTGCCCTTCTCAGAGGGCTGTGGTGAATGTGAATAGGTAGCACCAGTGAAAGTGACAGGGAAAAGCAGCTCTAAGCAACTAATAGGTAAATGCACAGCATGCAAATAGACAGTTTATCTACCCAGCAAACCTTGCAGCTTTAACAGAACTCCCCCTTCCTGCAGAAACACCTATTCTTGCAAGTGTGCTGATCCAGGATCTCCCAGAAACCATGGAAGTAGACAGATGGCCACCTCTCTGGACACTGAGATTGGTTCTGGTAGGGATTCATGACCCCAAAGACCTTCCTGTGACTTCAGCTAGAGCTATGGAGAATGATGACCTTTCCCCCGGTTTCTAAGCTCCGGTGGCTATCTTGTCTGCCTCATTCTTTGAACCCCTAGATCAAGCTGTTCCTGTAGGCCAAATCCATCCTTGATTTTTCCATTACTTGAGCCAACAAATCTCCCTCACCTTTTTTGTGTAAGTTACTTTAAATTTGGTATTTTATGTTTAACAAAAGGGTCCGTATCATTGTAGCAATTATGGGCCCTGGATTTCTGTTTGGAGGCTGTGGAGAGCTTAGAGGAAGTCTAGAGGGGAATAATAGACACATACACAGAGATAGAATATGAGACAATTATAGACTGGGCACTTTCCACACAACCGAACAAGAACAAACAGGGCTAAGTTGCAGTAAATTTTTATTGCTGCTGTTTAGACAATGAGAGTAAGGGCTCCTAACAGTCTCCTTTAAATGCCATTTTCTGGTCAAAATCACCACAGACACACATGCCATTCTGGCTGGATGCCATGTGTATGGATGTGCTTTTTAGAATAGTCATGCCTGTTTGCTAATGACCCATGGGGTTCTTAGGAGCTGGCTATTTGGCTGAAATAGGCTTAATTTCTCTTATTGATTCTACTAGTAGCTGTCCACGGGTCACCCCCAGAGAGCTGGCAGGAGCTCTTTTTTAATCACAGTGTTGGTTTGATTGAGATGTCCCTGGGAGCATTTAAGATAAAGACAGGTGTTCCCTGTGGGCCCGAGAGCTGGGCAGGCCAGTTCCCAGAACTCGAGTTTAGCCAGGGTCGAATTTAGGAACTGGACTGTGTGTGGAGGCCTCTGTTCCCCCCTGCGCTCCCTAACGTCACGTGTCTGGCTGAGTGAGGTGAGGGCTCACGGGAGGCTTGTCCCCTGTCCCTCCGTCTGGGCTGTGGGCTTCCTAAACAGGCTCAGCCATCTCCATGGCCTTGCCCTTTGTTGTCCACTCTGCCTCCTCTTCTCTCCCTTATGTGTCCACTGCTGAGAGCACTCAAGCTCTGCTTTGCCTTGGGAGCCCCCCAAGACCACTGTGCCTTGTGGCCTCCTTCTCCTCCTCCCACTTCTCCTGACTCTTCTCTCCACTCCCACCATCTGCACGCATTGTCTACTGGCCCTCTGCAGGTCTTGGAGGGCAAAGAGCACTTCTTTGTCTCTTGTGTGACAGTGGAGGCCGTGGGAGGCCCCTCACTAGTCATCGTGGGGCTGCTTACACATCCCTCAATTCATGCGTCTAGTGTGTATTCCTTCAACGCCTATTTATGGGGGAGGGGAGGGGAGAGACAGAGTGAATCAGACATGTTGCCTGCCTGTGGTCTTTCTGGCCTTGGGTAAGGAGGGAGGCTATTGCT